GGAGTAGCACAGCTGGTTATCTATCTGGGAGAAAAAAAACTGGATCACTATCATATCCAGGCACAAAAATAAATTCCAGATGGATTAAAAACGTAAAAATCCAACACATACAATAAAAATCTTGCAAGAAAATCTTGGAAACTACATTTACCAAATCTAGAGGAAGGAGAGACCTTAACCAAGACATAATTTTCTACATAATAATTGAAAACATTTTGTATGGCAGGAAACCATAAATAGTCAATAAAAAAATTAAAGTTATAGAAAGGTATTTATAATGAAGATACAAAGCATTACGGTACATAATATATAGAGAGTGCTTAGAAATGACATCTTAAAGAAACTTAATAGAAAAACATACGAAGAATATGAAGAAGTAATTCACAGAAGAGCCAACTGTTCAAATTTACTGGTAGTCAGGAAAATGCAAACTAAAGATATGTGGGAATCACATCCATTGGTAGCAAAAATTAAATACAGTGATAATTAACACTGTGTAGAATATGGGTCAACACGTACTTTCCCACATTGCTGATGGGACTGTGAACTGTTACAGCCTTTCAAAGAAGCAAATGGGACATGAGTGCATTAAATATGTAAACTGAACAGCCAGTTTAAAACACACGTTACCCTTTGATCTAGCAATCACACTTCTGAGACTCTATTCCATAAAAGTAAAAGATTTAGAATACCTGTGAGGATGTTTAGTAAAACACTATTTAAAGACTAAAAACTGGAAACGAAGTAAATGCCTACTGATAGAAGGGTTGAATAAAAGACCACATTTAAAAACAAAGAAACAAGTATATAATCACCTGTTTACACAAAATTCTGTATGAGTACATATCTGTATAAAGAAGTTTTTATTTATGTTCAAGGACAAATAGATACTGAGTTCAAATCCTGCCTCTATCATTTATTTACTAGGTGAGAAAATTACTTAGCAAATTACTAAGCTTCACTGAACCCGTTTCTTCATTTCTAGAACAGAAATAGTAATTACCACCTTATAAGGATTTTCTTAGGATTAATGAGATAATGGACATTAAAATGCTCAGTACGAATGACACATATGTCCTCAGAAAATGAGTTACTGTCATATTTTTTCCCTCAAGATGAAAAGTCTAAATAATTTTTACGTCAAAAAAATTTGAAGAAACAAAGGGGAAAAAAACCCCAAAAAACAACCCTTTAAGGTAATATATGTGAAATTTCAGAACACAGAGCATGTATCTGGCAAGTCCAAAATTTAGTAATATATATGTATATAAATACGATTGTCTGCATATGTACAAATCCTGCTTAGTCTGTGTGGGCTGCTGTAACAAAAACCACAGACCCAGTGGCTTATAGACAACAGGATTTACTGCTCACAGCTCTGGAGGTTCCAAGTCCAAGATCAGGGTGCCAGCAGGGCTGGGCTCTCGTGAGAGCCCTCGTCTGGGTTGCAGACTGCCGACTTCTTGCTGTGTCCTCACATGGTGGAAGGGGCAAGGGGTCCTTTGGAGCCTCTTTTATAAAGGCCACTACTCTCTGTCATCAGGGTTCTGCCCTGGTGACCTACTAATCACCTCCCAAAAGCCTCAGCTCCTAATATCATCACCTTGAAGGTTAGGTTTCAACATAGAATTTAGAGGGACACAAACATTCAGACTATAGCACCTCCTATATGCAAGAATGTTCATAGCAGCTTTATTCATAATCGCTAAAACTGGGGGGGGGGAAGCCCCACAAACATCTATAACAGCAGATTAAAGTGTGGTGTACTGATACAATGGAACACTCTCAGCAATTAAAAAAATGAAAACAAAGAAACAAAAAAAGAGCCACTACTGATAAACACTCCCAAAATAGATGAGCAAAAGAAGTCAGATACAAACAAGTACATGTTACATGACTGTATGATTGCACTTAAACGAAGTTCAAGAACAATCAAAACTAATCTAGGGAGACAGAACTCAGAATACTGGTTCTCTGGGGGAAGAGTAGGGGTGATTATGACCAGAAAGGAGCCAGAGTAACTTTTTGGGGTGGTGAATATGTTCTTCCTCTCGGTAGTGGTCACAGCAGTGTATTTATATGTAAAATGTCATCAAGCTGTACACTTTAAAATTGTGTATTTTAGCCTATGTAAATTATAGCTCACTGTTAAAATAAATTTTAAAAAAATTTAAGGTAGTTTCTCCCATCAAAAAAATTCAGAACAAATTAAAAAATGTTAACTACCATTCCCATAGAATAATTATTATTTCCAGGGAGACAGAAAACCAATACCAACTTGTATTAGATAACACTGTAGTGTAAAACAAACAAAAAAAGTATTCACCAATATTATGATGGTTAAATAATTTGTATTTTATGATCATCTACCAGCAATTTAAACTAGTACACACATCCACTAGAAATCCTTTTAGGTTGTAGCTATCTGCATAATAAAAGTTTTATGTGAAATAAAAAGCACATGACATCAGCACATATAAAACATTAATCAAATATATCAGGGGCTGGCCGAGTGGCACAATGGTTAAGAACTGGCTTGGGACGCCAGAGGACCCCGGTTCGGATCCCACATATGAGGGCCAATGACACTGCCCTCTACAGCTAAGATGCTGAACAACAGCTCAACCTGGAGCTGGGCTGCCATGAGTCGCTGGCGATGGCGTAGGCTGCAGCCCCTGCTGCAGTGGGTTGCCATGGGCT